GTTTCAGATGATTCCAAATGAAACATTAAATATATACACAAATATATACGCATATTGTGTATATACATACATATACATATACAGAAAGAGAGAGAGAGGATGAACAAAATATTAGGGGTTTTTTAATGTTACAAAAGGAGCTCTTGGCAATGTACTACATATTTATCAATATACACAACATTTTAAATATGTATTATACATAGTGTAACTATGTGTGTGTGTAGACCTCACCAACCTAAACCATTTCTATATAAACATGAGATAAATATAATTTATGTAAGAAATATAAAACATATTGCAATGCATCTTCCAGTGATATACGACATGGTGAACTAACTTTCAAGCCGTTAACAAATTATGCTTCTTTTCTTACTGAACACTGACCACTGAAATAGCACACCGTGTACTCCTAGAAGGAGCCAAGTCAGAGAGCAGAGAAAGTGCTAGCTAAAATAATTTTCTCTTCTTTCCCAAAAGGGAAAAGCCAGCAGTGGTGACCAGCTCTGTTATTAGGCTCACTAGTGAGCCCTGGGGAGGGCGGTTCCCCTCAATCCAAATAAACTGTCCCTGATGAAGCCTGCTGAGAAGACCGAAGGAGAAAGGCTTTCCACTTGTTAAATGTTTATTATTTGAGCTTCACAGCCAACTACAATAAGGAAGAGGGGAAGCTGTCTGCAGGCTGCATGCATATTTAGCTACTCCAATTCCATGAATGTGAAATACAGCACTGGGCTAAAACCTTAACGTTTACTAAGCAGTAGCTTGAGGGAGATGGTAGTCGGGAATAAAAGCTTGGAGCCGCTAGTATTTGGGTCAGTGATTTGAAAGGAGCTGAAGTCAACAAAAAACTAAAATTCTTGACATTGGCAAAGTGTTGCTTCCTTTTGTTCTAAGAAACATGAGCAGAGAAAAGGTACAAATCTAATCTCTCTTGTACCTCTTTCCACTTTGAACTAAGAATACTTTTGCTTTTTCCTCAAAATGACTGAACAACAACAAAGCTAAATTCTTATCCATTAAAGCACTGGTGGGAGGGATAGTAAGTAACAAAGTGCGTGTTCAGTCCTGTCCGCCTCTTTGCAACCCGATGGACTGCAGCCCACCTGGCTACTCTGTCCTTGGGATTTTTCCAGGCAAGAATACTGGAATGAGTTGCCATTTCCTCCTGCAGGGGATCTTCCCAACCCAGGGATCAAACCTGCAACTGTAGTATATCCTCATTGGTAGGCATATTCTTTACCTACTGAGCCATGTAGCCAATGGTAGGAGGGATGACTGCAAGATAATGTCTTCACTTATCCTGCACTTCACTGAACATCTTCCTGAGCCCCACTGACGCACCACCTGTTTTAGTTATCCCTCACTTTTCTGGTTTAACACTGGCATTCCTTTTGGTATGATAGCCATGTGATGTCTCAAGTTTATTATCCACAGGTGAAGGAAGAAACAGACAGAACAGGCTCCATCTTGAAAGCAGGACTCCATCTTGGGCCAGACTGTGGACTTTGAGCTCTATGCCCATGGAAAGGACATACCAACTGGAAACCAGGCCCTCCCGGATGCAAGAGCCCCAGGGTTCGTACCTAGACCCTCAGTCACCTAAAAGACCCCTAGCTGTCTGTGTAACCGAACAGAATTATGAATTCTATTATGCTTATTGGGGTATGACCACAGGCCTATTGATAATTGTCCACTGTTAACTACCTAGGCCTAAGGCATATGAATCACGGGTTATCTTTGATTGTATCTTTCTTTTCCTTTGTTCAGACTAGTTTCAGGGAATTTGGGGAGGTGGGTTTGGGTACGTACACTTAGGGTATATAAGGGTTTCACAAAAACTGGTCAGGGTCCTTGGCTAAAAGGAGACTCTGCCTTGGGCCCCCCAGTGTAATAAACTGCACTCCTCTATCTGCACTGTCCTTCTCAGTGAGCTTGTTTCCCAGAACACGTGGCTACAACACAGGGACGTGCTTTAAACTACTGTAGGATCTGGGTGATGATTACTAATTAAGTAGAAAGGGCAAAGTAAATATATTTTAGTAAATGTCAAGATGGAATAACTCTACATCAAAAGATAAACCTACATATATATACACACACACATACATACATGTATTATTTACCCAATTCCCAGACTAATTATGGCATAAAGTAAAGTAATAAGTTGCAGAGATATCTTTTTTGGCAGAAACTAAATCTTTAATCCTCTTTTTAAAACAACATAGAAGAATGAAGTTTAGGGCAAACAGATTTGACTGTCTCACAAATACGAACCAACAGATATACACGACAGTCAAGTTTTGGGTTGAAGTACTAGTTCTGTGGCTAAGTGTCTGTCTTCTTGGGCTAAGGAGTTCGCTCTTTTGAGCTCTGGTTTTCCCAACCCTAAAATAATATGTCTCCCATGCTTTCCCCAAGATTTAAATGAGGATCAAAGACTTTTTATAAAATGTGTCCAATCAAAAGCAAAGGGGAGGGAGATTCAAGAGGGAGGGGATATATGTATACATATAATTGATTCACTTTGTTGTAGAGCAGAAACACAACATTGTAAAGAATTACACTCCAAGAAAAAAGATTAATATAAAATCTTATCAATGGTATATTTTAGTCAAGTCTCTCTTAAATAATAATAGTAACAGCTACCACCGATTAAATGCCTAGCATGTGCTAGAATTTATTACATGAGGCCCTTTATATTCTATCTATTTTAAGCCCCCAAGGGATATGCTATACTCTTGCCTGATAAGAAAATAGGCTCAGAAAAGTCAAGAAACTTGCCCAAGGTCAGAAAGTTAGTAATAAACAGCAAAGCTATGATTCAAAACAATTCTGGATCTAAAGGCCAGGCTTTTTCCACTAGCCCCTGAGAATTAATCCAGCATTAACAGGAAATGAGCCATTCACAGCAGTCAATTTTCCAGATGACTACATTTTAACTTTAAATTTTTATGTAAATCTGTTTAAAGCGCATTCATCCTCTTTTGCTTATAATTAACTAACCAAAGCTGAAGGCTTCCTTTGATAACTCAGGATCACAATTGTGGACTCTCCGATGTGGGTCAGAACAGGCCTAGATGTATAAAAGCTGCTTACCCCGCGGCGTGGCCGCTCCAGCACTGTGGCTTCCTGTCGCTCTCTCCTTGCTGAGACTGAGCTGGCCGGCTGAAGTCCTGGCAGCGCCTCTCCCAGCTCCCTGACCCATTTACTCTGCGGTCACTTAGGAAATCAGGTAACTCACGGATAGAGGAGCCTGGCAGGCCATAGTCCATGAGGTCGCAAAGAGTCAGACACGACTGAAGCGACTTACGATGCACCCACATGCACACATGGGGTACCAACAAATCTAAATCAACATGGCCCTGGGGTATGAGCCCCAAGATGGCTTCTAACAAATATATCACATAATCCAGGTCTGCTATTTGCTTCCTGGCGTCTGTCTGGATTGTAGTTGTGCTCTGTTGAGATGACAGTCTCTAAAGACTGACTTCCAGATAAGTGGAACCTAACTCAACTAACGTAACACTGTGTTCCACAGCATCACCTGACTGAGATCTTGATTTACTGCATCTCATTTGGTTGTTTTGAAAATGGAATCATAGCACTAAAATAAGTAAGTTCTAAAACTTACTGTGGAACAAACTTTTCAGAGGATTCATGTGTTTGTATTTAGTTGCATGATACTTGAAACACACCAGGTAGTAAACACTTTCACTAAACACTAATGATGGCAAACTCAGTCTTAAAGTATAAATTGGATGGTGGTGGCTTCATTCAAGAATGCATTCAAGAAAAAAAAAAAAGAATGCATTCAAGAAAGGCTTTCCTTAGCCTGAATGCCATCTCTTCCAAATAAGCCTATCTTTCATCTTTATCCCAGACCAGAAGAAGAAATGGCTAAATACCCCCTTTGTTTGTTAAGCACTGCATTTAGCACACAGCACTTAGTGGCTTACAAGTATGTCTCCCTCTCTTCATCAGACAAAATATAAACTCCCTGTGGGGAGAGCGTCTCTTTCATCTTCGTACTCCACTCCGAGAGCCTTAAATAGTCCCTTCCAAATAGCAAATGCTTCGAACTATACATCCTTCCCTGCGTTTATCTTTTAAGTGTTTCATGATATCTAAATGTGCTCCCTCTTCTACCATGACCACTCCCTTCCCCGCTAGGCCCAGCAGGGACAATGACGCACACCCTTGCATGAGATTCCTAAAAATATATGTGCTAAATAAAACAGCATTAAATAACAGCATTAAAATATATGTATTAAGCATAAAAGACAGAATCCCTATTTTAAAAGCAAGGTCACAGGGACTTCCCTGGTGGTCCAGTGGTTAAGAATCCACCTGCTAATGCAGGGGACATGGGTTTGATCCCTAATCAGGGAGGATTCCACATGCTACAGGGCAACTGACTCTGGGCACCACAACTACTAAAGCCCATGTGCCCTAAAGCGCCATGCTCCACAAGAAGAGAAGCCATCACAATGAGAAGCCCATGCACCACAACTAGAGAGTTGCCCCCGAATGCCACAACTAGAGAAAGGCTTTGCACAGCAACAAAGACCCAGCGTAGCCATAAATAAATAAATAAGGTCACAGTAAGGTTCCTAGTCAACGCTCATTCTCTCATATACCATTGATAAATGGCTGCTTTCAACACACAGTTTTAACATAATAAAAATAATATGCTCTTGCTTTAATAAAACAGATACATAATTTAAGTAGTAGAATTTAACTTGTATATTTTAAGTAAATTATTTTTACCTTATTGGAACTGACGTGCCTATTGGTATTAAGACAGTACAATAGCAACACTTGAGATTTCTGTTCATTTTGATTTCTGACATTGGCAGTTCATTAGAAGTTACTAAAATAAACTGATTTGCACTAAGGAACCCCTAGGCAGTTCATCATTTCATGCCTGGTGCCGCTTGCTTATTATGCACCATCAATATTATTAATGTGAATTCTTCTATAGTAAAGTATTTTCTCCATACCTCTTAACTTTGGATTTTTTCCAGTTGACTTTCTTAATACCCAAATCAACATACGATTCAGTTAGTTCTATATTTAATTCTCCTTCTGAGTCACTTGGAAGTATTCCTAGTTTTGCAGCAGATTCATACAGAGAAATTTCATCTTTTAGTTCTTTTAATTCTTCCTAAAACACAAAATTATTGAAAGTCATTTTCATTTTTTTCTAAGAAGGAATCAGTCATTCTTTCTATTCTTCAAAGTTCATTTTAATGATCAACAGAAGGCAGAAATGCTACTTCAAATACATTTTTTGGCATGCATTAAAAATGTAAAGGCCAGCACATATCAAGGTTTTCAAGTAAACTGAATGAACAAATAAAGTGAATGAGAAAGCAGATGTAAACACCTCTCTCACACCTCCCTCACTGACATTCCATCCTCCACAAACAGCCTCCCTTGAGCTGAGAAGCTGGTGGCAGTGCATGTTGCCTAAAAGCAGGGGACAGAGGAGACTGGTTTAGTCTGCCAGTGGTGAAAAGGCACAAAATACTATACATCTTGCCAGGGGAGAGAATACTGAACACTTCCTCCAGTGGAAAACATAACTGGTACTGGAGGAGGGTGTGAGAGGACTGCAGTTGAACTGTAGGTTTCCCACACCTGTAGACAAACCTATCTCTGGGACACTTCCCAAGATGAAAGGACGTTCCAAGTGAAGGAAGCGATGGTCCCTTGCTCCATAGGTGGGCAGACCAGGGCTTGGCTACCCAGCTGTGTGGGTAAGGTTGTGAGTGACTCCTGTGGGCTGGATTGGAGATGGTCCAACCACCATACACAGAAATCCAAGGTTCAAAAAGGTGACATAACCATCGCCTAATTCAGTTACCCAGAAAGTCTCTTCCTGGTGGCAACACTCACTTGCAAAGCCTTGCTCATGTTTTCACTCATAGCGTGTGCCTTTTGTGCTTGCTGCAGCTGGAGCTGGAGTTGAGCCACCTCCTGTACTGAGCCTGTGGGAGAAAGAACCACAGAATACGTCAGATGTAACGGAACAAGCCGCCTATGACATACAGAAGAACTTGCATCCACTGAGGCTATAGCCGGTGGGACCCAGAAAGCATATGTGTGGTGCTGACATTTTCAAGATTTAGTACAGCTGCCCAAAGGTCCTCGGGGAGTTGAAGACATGGGCTACTGTGACCCTGCCATGAATTAAACCAGCCATGTCTACAGAGCTTAACACTCCACAAGTCCTTTAATAGGAGCAGAACATTCTAGCTCACAGATTACCAAAGTAAAAATTCTTTAGAACCCATTCCATTTCTGCTTTCCAATAAGAAAACCACATCTTGCTGCCTTTAGCTTCTTTCTGAGTGCTTTTATTTCCACCACTCCCACCTCCACACATATTAGAAGCAAACTAGGATTGTACCGTTGAAACTCCAGTAACCTAATATTTTAAATGGTTAAAAGGTTCCCATCTAAAAAGGACTTTATTGGGTTTCCTCAGAAGAAAATGAGCATCTAAGAAATGGCTAAGCAAAGTAATGATGGAGTATTAGGCAACTAAAGAAAATCATATTTTCAAAGCCTTTAATGGCAACCAAAAAGGCTCAGTAAGTAATACCATGTGGAACAAAGGACACAAAACTGAAATGACCTAAATGGAGCATGATGCGAATTTTGTCCCCACCAAAACACACACACACACACACACACACACACATTTAGACAGACTTCAACTTCTGAATAACCCATTCTTCAAATATTGTACCGGTCGTCTGAATTATTCAATCTTTGCACATTCAGCCTTGATTTGTTTCAAAATGCACTAGGTACAGAAGCAGGGAACTGTCTATACACGTTCACTTGTGAACAACATTAACCGTTGTCTCTACATAGTAGGATTATTGGCTACTTTTATTTTCTACTTTATACTTGTCTGGATTTCCCCAATTATCTAATGAAAATACACCACATCTTCATAGACATACACCAGTAACAATGTTAAGAAAAAATTCTGTCCCGGATGAACTTTTCTGTTTTTTTCTGGATTTTTATAGTAATTCACGGATCCTACTATGCTTGCTCCACAGTTTCTCCTAGCCTTCTGGGGAGCCAGCACCCACACAGACACCCACCTGAGTGCAGCAGGTTGGCACACTGCTTCTGACTCTCCTCCAGGCTTCTCGTCAATCTGTTAATGATCTCAGTCTTTTCTAATCTGGTTGCTTCTTGATTCCTTTCCAGTTGCTTAACCTGATCTTTCAAATGACAGCAGATATCTTCCTAAACAGAAAAAGCATCCAAGAAGTCCTTTTCATAATCAAGTTATTGTATATTAAACTAACAATTATGACCTTACATCTTTGGATTTTGAGTCAAATATAAAATCACTACCTGACAGGATCACCTCTTTTACAAGGTCAAGTGCACAAGTTTGAGTCAGGAGAACAAACTGGTCGGTCACCGACTGCTCAGTCTGTTTTTCCTTTCGGTTGAATTTGAATCTGATGGCTTCTAAAGTCTCTCTCTGCCCTGTATACCTAAGACACTGTTATTATAAAATTGGATTTTATTCAAGCCAAAGGAAATGTATTACATCCCTATTTGCATTTTACACTCTCAGTATAATTGTGTGTACACAGTAGGCAAACCACCTTGAACCATGGAATCTGTGTCCCAAGTCAGCAAGGATACAGACAAAACACATGGAAACTCACTCTATTCTGAATAGCCAAAAAGTAGCCCTCCATCTTCTGAACTGGTTTTAAACTTGATCTGTTTCTCTCATGTTTTTCCATCTTGTATATGTCTTTTTTCTCTTAACAGTCTCTTTGAAGGTGCCTATATAGTGCCTTATACATAGTGAATGCTACAAAAGACATTTGAAAAATGACAAAGAAAAACAGGATAAATGTGTGCATGTATGTAATTACATGGGGCTATATAGAGAATCTAGAGCAGGTATATAATATATTCAAATGTCTACAAAAAGAAACTGTGTTTGGAAGTAATGAGCCATGGGAATCCCAAAGCCAAGTAGAAGAAATCATCATCTCTCTCATTCAAGAAGGGTGACACAGCCTGAATTCCAGGCAAATAGAGCATGTGAGAGGCACATAAGCAAATCAAGGTAATTGGTTGAAGTTACCTGAAAAAGCCTGAAGAAAATAAATAGTAAGAGGCATATCAAGAAAGGACTTTGAGACAGAGAGAAGGCATTTGGGGCCTGATTTTACCATAATCTAAAGCCTAATAATGCCTTACGGTTACAAATAGAAAATATATCTTATCACCTCATAGGGATACTAACACTCTCGTTAAGCAGAGCAAAGAGACTCTGAAGTTCCCTGTTAGCTTAAAAATTCATGAGCATTTTGTATTCTATTTCATAATGTGTCATGTTTGCTTTAACATTTTTCTACCAAATTTTTGAGCAAAATGAAGCTCAAAATGGAACCTGGTCCATGTTTATTCAACAGTGCAAACCTCTTGGCACACTGCTGCTGATTCCCAGGCCAGTTTGGTTCTAAAGCATCAAAGTAACATGGCAAACACAACAGATGAGCTAATATTCATGACAATGTGAATGTGTGAGCAAGAAGAGGTGGGGAAACAACTCACATTTATGTGCTGGGGAGGTCACGATAGCTTTTACCAGACACTGAGAACTGGCCCAAAAGAGTTCAAGAAAAGGTAATTATGAAAACTATTATAATAAAGAGGCAGACCATGGAAATAATTAGACTATATGCAACAATCTAATTAAGAGTCCCCCAACCCTCTTACACTGTTGGTGGGAATGCAAATTAGTACAGCCACTATGGAAAACAGTGTGGAGATTTCTTAAAAAGCTGGAAATAGAACTGCCATATGACCCAGCAATCCCACTTCTGGGCATACACACCGAGGAAACCAGATCTGAAAGAGACACGTGCACCCCAATGTTCATCGCAGCACTGTTTATAATAGCCAGGACATGGAAGCAACCTAGATGCCCATCAGCAGACCAATGGATGAGGAAGCTGTGGTACATATACACCATGGAATATTACTCAGCCATTAAAAAGAATTCATTTGAATCAGTTCTAATGAGATGGATGAAACTGGAGCCCATTATACAGAGCGAAGTAAGCCAGAAAGATAAAGACCATTACAGTATACTAACACATATATATGGAATTTAGAAAGATGGTAACGATAACCCTATGTGCAAAACAGAAAAAGAGACTCCTATGTATAGAACAGACTTGTGGACTCTGGGAGAAGGCGAGGGTGGGATGTTTCAAGAGAACAGCATCGAAACACGTATATTATCTAGGGTGAAACAGATCACCAGCCCAGGTTGGGTGCATGAGACAAGTGCTTGGGCCTGGTGCACTGGAAAGACCCAGAGGGTTCAGGTGGAGAGGGAGGTGGGAGGGAGGGCCGGGATGGGGAATACATGTAAATCCATGGCTAATTCATTTCAATGTATGACAAAAACCACTACAATGATGTAAAGTAATTAGCCTCCAACTAATAAAAATAAATGAAAAAAAAAAAAAAGAATCTGGAATAAAGATGTGAAGAAACCTAAAAAAAAAAAAAAAAAAGAATCCCCCAGGTGGCCTGGTGGTTAGGATTCTGGGCTTTCACTGCCAAGACTCTGGTTCAATCCCTGGTCAGGGACCTAAGATCCCCAAAAGCCACATGGCAGAATGCAGGGGGCAGAGGTGGGGGCCTTAGGCAACAATCAATTAAGCCATGCTGTTTCCTGTTGACAAGTTCAGGAAAACATATCATACTCATAAAACTATGCAGTTTAAACACCAAGAAACAAAAATAAATGGTTCTATCTTTTCCGCAATTAGCTTGAGTGAGAACACTCAGTTCAAGATTGATAGAGGCAGATGTCTTTGAAGACTGAATGAGACAACTGCAGTGATAAAGAGATAATAGCTGAACCCACAAGATGAAATAGAATTGAACAGATTTGTAGTGCACAAAGGAAAAAAAAAATTAAGCCACATGCACACAGGTCTGCTGGAGTCTCTCAGTCAATAGGAAGTGCTTAAATGCATATAAAAGATTAGAAGATAGATCAGCTGAAGGTCATAACATAGAAACCAAAGTCCATGACTTCAACAGAAGCTGAAGATTTCAAGAAGACCAGAACGAAGAAAGATTGATACCACCGAGGAGCTAATCAGAGATGTCAACCAGTATCAGGAAGAAGTAGAAGTCAGTTCAGACACCTGAACAGAGATCTCAGGATATGACACTTCTGTGAATGGAAGAGAAAGGAGACACCTGGGAGGAAAGCACCTCAGAGATAGCATGCTATAAGCGTCCTGTCAGGGAAGGAACATTATGAGCTGCAAGAGCTCATTTCTTCTCATCTTCTCTGTCTCACACACACACACACAAAACCCAAGGGTAACTCAGCCAAAATAACAAGAACTGCTACACAGTGAGTGTGTGTACAATCCCTTCTACCAGAAAAGCTGATGACTTAAGGAAAATATTAAATTAGTAATACAATTTTACATGCCATGTATTTCTCAAAATACATGAGTTACACAAAAATTAAAACACATATAAACATGATTATATGATGGATTGCTACTCCTCCCATCACGTGGAATTAGGTAGCTTCTGCATTGAGTTTTGTCTTTCAAAATAGATTTAAATCTATGTAAACTTTGTTTACATCCTGATGTTTAGCTGTTTTCAGTAAAACTTTGCTGAACAAATGAAATAATATGATTATTTCACAAGTAAAGTCCTTCCCCTCCAAAAGCAAGTTTTTCACAAAGCAGTGATTTTCAAATTTTTGCAAGGGGGAGGTCTGAACCTCTTGAAAAATCTGAATAAGCTCATGGGTCTTCTCAAAGAAAACTGCATATACTGACACCCAAGAGAAAATCACACTCACAATTTCAGAGATTCAAGAGCTCCCTGGAGCCTAGTCATGGACTGCTTTAGAAGATGCCAGGTTAACAATCTCTGTCACTCACAAATCATACAAGGTGTGATCATCTACTCAGGTAACACTGGCATGTACTCAGGTACACAGTTGTGTGACTACGTGCAAGCCACTAAGAACCCAGACATTGGCAAACTTGTTCATCTGCTACATCACCTAGTTAATTCCATGCTACTCTTTCTCAAGAGTTGTTTTATTCTTCTTTGTAACCTGCAGAGTAGAGTGGAGCAGGAAAAGGTTTATCAGAAAGGGAAAGATTTTGCTCCTCTTCAATAACTTTTATATTAAAAAAAAAAAGAGAGAGGACAAGGGGGAGTATGTATGTATGGTTACCAGTTATGTTAAGAAAATATAAATCACCTGTCTCTATAGAACACACTCATGCATTTTCCTGATTACAGGCAGCCAACTCCCTGGCTCTTGGCTGATCTTTACAGCACCTTTTCCAATTAGGACTCTCAGCTTGGATTCCGAGATAATACGAACGGACCTTTTATTAAAAATACTGCTGAGCCAAATGATAGCAAATGGACAGCATGAAAGGGATACCCAAAAAAAAAGCATTCCCAGAAAGAAAAAAACGCCGGGCACTTTGGAATCACCACTTTGCAAAGTAGTTATGGAACAATACACAGAAGCTAACATCAGTGCTATGCTCTGCTCCGTTTTAAATAAAAGAGAAAAATCACTGACAGAATGTAACAGCAGACAAGACCTTAGTCAACACTTTCACTGTATGGTTCAGGCACCCGAAGCCCAGTCAGCACAGAATGAAGACTCTGTTCTGTGTTCTAGTCCAGGGTTCTTTGGCTGAGGGGTCGGAAGAGGTGAGAAAAGTGAATGGAACAATTACAGGGGTTGAAACGCACCAGGAACTGCTCCCAGGCTGCCCGTGAGTGAGTCTGCCTCAGGCAGGAGAGAAGGGAGAGAGCCCCAACCCGGCGTGGAGAAGCCACCAACACCGGCTCCCCTCGTCGTCGGAGGGGGCGCCACTCTCCACAGCAGCTTTCACGCTGCTACCCAAACAGAGCCACGCTTAATAAAACCGAATCTCAAGTTCTATCTGTTTTAATATTACAGAAAGTAGACTTTAATCATTTTCCTTTTTTTTACCTTTTTTTCTAGACTTTAATAATTTGTCCAAGTCTTTGTCTTTCCCCACCCTCTACTTATCCTTCACACTGATCAAATTCACAGTATTTTTCTACATAAAAAGAATCTTTAAAAAATCTATATGGGAAAATACATCCAATAAAAATTCATATAAACACATATAAAAGTAAAATTAAATGAAACGATATACAAACAATTATTATTGCCAATAATGCAGTTTTATAGTACACAACCTAAATCATGGAAAAATTTAGAGTCAGCTGTATAAAGAAGAAAAAACAACTCAAATCAGTGTGAATTTTAAATGGGGAGGGATTTTCTAGATCTTCTCATCTTATTCTCTTCTTTCCTTGGGTTAAATTAATTCTGAAATTACATTGAGAAAGACAATCCCTGAAATCTTATTCATTCAACTGATTATCTGGGGTTTTGGAGCACAAGCAAACCCACTACCTGGGTTACAACATTTTATTCCCTTTGGGGCAAAGCTAAAATAAAAACTGTGAAACATGCTCAACTTTCATATCTAAATGATTTCAGATCAGAATCTCTTCCCTATTTATTACACTAGTCTTAAAATCAACTCTTCTCCCAAGAATCATTTCTAGACAATATTTACTGACAAGTTAATAACCAAACACTGGGAGACCCAAGAAAGGTCTTCCGGTTAATCTCCCAGGACAACTACTCAATTCCAGGCCAGCTCCTAGAACACTCCTTCTTTTCAGTTTGGAATCTTCTAAGACATATAAACAATATGCATAAATATTTGACAAATGAAGAAGTAGTAATATGAGAAGTGAGAAAGCACTAAACCAGTCCTACCAGAGGAAGGATTTCCAAAAGTATGCCCTCGGGGCATATCCACAGATAAAACTCTTCGGGCATTTAAATTTTACTCATACTCAAATACCTATTGCAAACACCTGGCATTTCTATATGATGAGCCGCAAGATGTCAGTCATGACTTTACTTGTTTACAATAGTTGCTATCTGAAATCATTCCAACCTGCTCCTTCAGTGCAGTAAGGGTAGCATCCAACTTCCTTTGTAAGGACAGCACTTGCTCCTCATACTTCTTTGTGAGGCCCATCACGATGCTCTCATGCTGCTCCCTCGTGCGCTGAAGCGATTCCGAATGATGCAAGTCCAACAGCTGCTGCTTCAGGCTGTCCAGGGCCATCTCAGTAGTTCTGGACTTTTTAATCATCTAGAAAATACACACAGGATACACATTTACAGTATTCTGACTCTGTGCTATCTTCATGAATTTTAATTCTAAAACTCAACCACGCTTAACTAAATGAAAGTAGGGGCTTCTCAGTAGTAAAGAACCCACTGCCAGTGAAGGAGACACAAGCGACGTGGGGTTCAACCCCTGGGTGGGGAAGATCCCCTGGAGCAGGAAATGGCAACCCACTCCAGCATTCTTGCTTGGAGAATCCCATGGACAGAGGAGCCTGGCGGGCTACAGTCCACGGGGTTGCAGAGTCAGACATGACTGAGTGACTAAACAACAAGAACAAGGACAAAGAGAAGAAAGGTCTCCCCGTGGTGGCTCTAGTTCCCTAGCTGGGATCCACCAGGCCCGTGGCTGCTGGGATTATTATTCACAGGGAAAAAGATTCTGGAAGTGTCTGAGGAAAGAAAGAGAAGATTTTGCACAACATGATGGCAACGTGGGTTCCAGGCAAGGAGTCTGCTGCTTATTCACCCATCTCAGTGCTGTTTGCATCGCTCTGTGCTCCAAGCGCTGGAGGGAAGTCCAACTGTTAGGTCATGGAAAAATGACAACTTTTTAAAAAATTTATTTATTTTTTAATTGAAAGATAATTGCTTTATAGAATTGTGTTAGTTTCTGCCAAAGAGCAGCATGAATCAGACATGAGAGGTGGGATGGGGAGGGAGGTAGAAAGGAGGTTAAAAACAACTGCTGCTGGAAAGATTGATGAAACTTCTCAGTGGTCACATACTAAAAAGGAAGCTTTTTAAACTGTAACTGTATGGTTATGGAGATGTAATTGTGTAGCAGGTTTACTGACAACTCCCAAAAGATGCTCATGTTCTAATTCCTGAAACCTGTGAATAGTTCTGTCACATTACAATGGGAAATTAAGGTTGTGAGTGGATTAAAGTTGCTAACCAGATGACCTCAAATAAGGAGACTGTCCTGGATTACCAGGGTGGACCCACTGTATCTAGAAGAGTCCTTTAATGAGGAAAACTGAGGCAAAAAAAGTCAGAATTGTGACTGCTAGCTCTGAAAATGGAAATGGACCATACACCAAGGAATGCAGGGGGCCTCTAGAAACTGGAAAAAGCAAAAAAGGGGATTCTCCCCTAGATCTCCAGAAAGCAACAGAGCTCTACTGACACCTTGATTTTAGCCCAATGAAAGCCATGCCAGACTTCTGACTTTCTGTCTGTAAGGTAATAAATTTTGCTGTTTTAAGCCACTAAGCCTGTGGGGATCTGTTAAAGCAGCAATAGAAAATTAATGTACCTGGTGGTTCTGTTGCCTTTTAAAATTAATTTAATTTTAATTTTTAATTTAATTTTATACTATTTTATTTTTTATAAATGCAAGTTCTAACTTATAAAAAGATTACTAAAAGATTATGTAGATTACGACATAAAAGCCACTCTTTAATAACTATCATTTTTCAAAAAATTTTAAATAATGATAGTCTATATTACACATAAAAATGAAAAATTTCATCAAATGAGGTCGCTTCTTCATTCTATTCCAGAGATTGCCTATTTATCCCAATACCACTTAAACTACTTAAGACATTCATCATCTGTTCAGTAAATGATGTGGACACTTTGTGCCAGGCAGGGTTCCAAGCACTTAAGGACAGGATGACAAGACAGCCAAGGCCTAAAGTCTTATTACTTTCTGGTGAAGAGGGACAGACAATAATAAGTAAACAGATGAGATAATTTCAGACGGCTTTAAAATAGAGTGATAAAATATGGCACAGTAGAGGGGAGTGGGAGTGAGAAGCAACAGGCCACTTCAGATGTAAGGCTGATGAGAAGCCCTCGCGGTTTTTAGCTAACAGCTGAAGGCTCAGAGAGAACCAGACATGAGACAACACTGTTTATTTTATTTATTTTTTTGAGACAACATTGTTTAAACTCTTCCGTCCTCAGAACCAGCCACTAATCTCATCTAGAACCAAGTCACTTTTGTTTGTAACCACCAAAACATCATTACTCACAGGAATCATTCACTGCCGGGCGTGGCTACCAATGACTTGCGGCTATTTCCCATGATCAAATGGCCACCCTTCTCATTAATCAAAGAATGTGCCACCACTTCAAAGGCTGGTCTGTTGGGGTCAGAAAATTTAGTTTCTGATGCTTTTCAGTAACCAGCTTTGTGATCCTGGAAAAGTAATGTGACCTCGCCAAGACTTGGTTAACCATCCATAAAATGGTAAACACAATGCTTCACTAATCAAAATCCCAACAAGACTTTATAAAGCATGGGAAGTTGATTTGCAAGATCTAGAAGGAAAAGTGTAAAAAAAGAGCTACTAAATATTTTAAGAATTGTAAGGGTAGCCCTTGTTTATCAGATTTCAAAACACAAAATAAAACTATACTTGTGATAGTATCAGAGCAGGAAAAGAGAAATATGTAAGAAAAAAAAAATTCAGAGCTTAGGTCAATATTGAACACCATAACTCACTCACCATGTACTGATCACCTATAATGTACCAGGCTCTAGGCTTATGTGGTGAGGTTACTAAGATGAGGGCAACCCGTTTTGGCCTTCAAGATTATTCTAGGTCTGTTATAACAGATGTGATCATCTGACTTGAGGAAGAAAACGGAAAGACTTAGGAAAAGAAAAGCCTTGAGCAGGGGCTTGTTAATCAAATAGCAATGTGCTGAGGAGAGGGCATTCCAGTGATAGGAGACAGCACATACGAGTACATAATAACAGACAGGCTATTGAGTTTAAGAGTGAGAGAAGAACCTAGATGCCCATCAGCAGACAAATGGATAAGGGAGCTGTGGTACATATACACAATGGAATATTACTCGGCCATTAAAAAGAATACATTAGAATCAGTTCTAATGAGATGGATGAAACTGGAGCCTATTATACAGAGTGAAGTAAGCCAGAAAGAAAAACACCAATATAGTATACTAACGCATATATATGGAATTTAGAAAGATGGTAACAATAACCCTGTATGTGAGACAGCAAAAGAGACACAGAGGTATAGAACAGTCTTTTGGACTCTGTGGGAGAGGGCGAGAGTGGGATGATATGGGAGAATGGCAATGAAACATGTAAATTATCATATGTGAAACAAATTGCCAGTCCAGGTTCGATGCATGGGACAGGGTGCTCAGGGCTGGTGCACCGGGATGACCCGGAGGGATGGGATGGGGAGGGAGGTGGGGCAGGGGGGGTTCAGGATGGGGAACACATGTACACCCATGGCAGATTCGTGTCAATGTATGGCAAAACCAATACAATATTGTAAAGTAAAAAAATAAATAAATAAAATGGGGAAAAGAAAAGTGAGAAAGAGAAAGGCAAGGATCAGATGGTCATCCTGACACCCTATTTCATCCCGCAAGTAAAGCAGGGTCATTGAAAGACTTTAAGTAAGGGAAAGGCATAACTAGAACTGTGCTTCAGAAAGATTACTCAGATGGCCAGATGAAAGAAGAGAAGGGGTAAAAGATTAGAGACTACATACAAGACTTCTGCAAAAGATGATAACATACTGAACTAGGGACGTGTGGGCAGAAATGAGGAGACTCAACACAACGTAGTGGCTGACTAGACAAAGGAACACCGAAGCTGAGCTCTCCTCCAGATTTCTGGTGGATAGATGACTAGGTGAATAGGAGACCCATTCCTCCAAGGAAAGGGAAAGAAATGTAGACTGACTTATGGGAGAAGAATGTGTAAACTTCAAAGTTTTTCTAAATTTAGTCCCACAATACAAAACATTAAACAACTAACATTTCATTGTAATCAACAACTTTTTACTGTAAATAATGAAGATCAAATATTTACCTGTTCTTCATTGACTTTTAATGCTTGTATTTGGGTCTCCAGTGCTTTTATTTGTGCTTCAAGCTGTATTTCTCTTTCTTTTCCATTCTGAAAGAGTTTCTGTGATTCTCGAAGGCTGAGGGCCAAACCATCCTTTTCATCTAGAATATTAAAAAATTTTATGTAAGTAATATGTTACTGCAGAGGGATCCTTAATTGCCATAATCTATCAAACATGAGACCTTTATCACATATAAATGTTGCTGCATTTAATTCAGTTCAGATAATGAACTTCACTTGATTTGGAAAAAGTCAGAAAAGCTTCAAAAAAAGAATGCGAGTGACATCAAAAAAATTTTTTTTTACAAAACAGCAACCACTCTCTTCAAAAAATCTTATTGTATCCCTTTAGGGACCAAAATATCCCCTAAAAAATCATTTCAATATCTGTTACTTGAGAAGCTACATAGACATGACAAGCGCCTGCTGATCAAAGAAACAATCTGAGGAAAAATTACTTTTTATACATACTCTCAATGACCTCTTTAATTCACCTAGTCTTTAATTCTTCCCACATACTTTACTGTAACAGTTCACAAGTTCTTCTCTCAAAATAAATTTCATGAGCATTACAAAAAGATCTTTTCACTATCAATTAAGTTTGAAATAAGCTGGAGTTCAGTCACAAAATAAATTATTCTACAAATGAGAGTTCAACACTGACCGAAACTACAGAAAGCATAAAGAGTGAGCAATTATAATCTGAAACCTGTGTTTACACTCTGCTTCTCCCAGAGATGACCACATTTTCTCCTTGGCACTCTCAAAGCAGTTCAGGATCACTAACTCTTACTTGGATTGAAATGTTACGCTAATTCATAGGCTCAGAAAACGTACTGTACACTAAACACAAGTCTCTCTGGGAACTGGAATACTTTATCCAAGGTAAACTACATAAGGAATTGATACTTTTTTTTTTGATACCTTTGTAAGATGGAATGCTATCAGCATATTTATATAATGTTCACAGATTCTATTAGTCTAATAAAATAGAAAAAAGGGGAAAAAATGAGGACCTCAAAATGTATGTTCTGGAAAGGAGTCCAAGGCAATGTGTCAAAAGTCCTGGATTTTTGTTTTGTTCTGACTGATTCATCGTGAGCCCTTCATCAAGTGCATCAAATCTCTACGCTTCATATTTAAAATGAGGTTACTGGAAACAAGCTATCTAGCTCTATGAACCTCAAACACAACAGCACTCAACAGTTGTTTTCTCACCTTTGGTTATCAGAAGCTGATGATTCAGATATCTAATTTGACGTTCACTTTCGTTTAACTTTTCAACTAAATTGTCCAGTTGTCTCTCTTTAGCTTTGTTAAGAACCTGAAGTTGAATAATCTGCATATTTTCTGCAGAGTCTGCTTGGGAATTAAAGACAATTTATTAGATAAAAGCATATCAAAATATAAATTTGTGGTCATTTCGGGCAATGTTTTATCAAACTGCAAATACAACTTAGGGTATCACGAAATCAATTCAGGAGATTATGACTAGCATTTTTAATAAACAATGCTACTGGCCAAAAACTTGGGTCTGCTCACCCACACACAGTAAAGCCAATCTACTGACACCTAGTTGTAGTGAAGGTAAGTGCAGCGTTTACAGGGCCATTTAAGGAGTTTGAGCTTTTTAAGCATCAGCTGTCCAGGACTTCTCTTGCAGCACCTTATCATAAATGCTGCACTTCCCTGATGGCTCAGTAAAGAACCTGCCTGCAATGGAGAAGACCTGGGTTCAAGCCCTGAGGTGGGAGGATCCCCCAGAAAAGGGAATGACAACCCACTCCAGTATTCTTGCCCGGAGAATCCCATGGACAGAGGAGCCGGGCAGACCACAGTCCACGGGGTCACAGAGAGTCAGACACGACTCAGTGACATATTTTCACACTTTTCCCTTCACCACAACCAGGTGTTGGTTAGACTGACTTTATTGCAAGCAGGCAAGAAGATCCAAATTTTGGTTTGGTATGATCAGTGTATCATGTAGCATAAATAAGTATTATTATGTAAAACTTATTTATACAGTATTTATATAAATATTGTAGACCTCATCACAATGAAAAAAAAAAAAAACCATACTTCTTACTATGGTCACTGCCAAGAAAGTCTAAAAAGTCACTAGTTAATGTATACCTCTGAATCACTACCATTCAAGCTAATGAAAAATAAGTATATACCAATAACAATCGAATAGAGCTCTAAGCTCTCATTAAGTTGAAAAATAAAAGTACATCAACTTCTATAAAACAATATTCGCAGAAAATTTCTAGACATCCTTCTCAAAATATTTTAAGCAAGAATGAAATCATTTATACTGGCAAATAACTGCTAAATTAACATATTAAAGAATAGATTAATAAAAAAATTTTGAGGTCTTCTTTCAGAATTAAAGTCATTTTAAGGACCACTTAAAAATCACTGGGGGAGAAAAAGAAAAAAGTGATTCACAGAAGGAGGATAATCTTTCAACTACACAATGACGAATATTTTCCTATAAGAACAATGCTACTATTTGCTAACAAATAAAACAATCTTATTTTTAAAAAGAGATATGGTTGAAACCTCCAAATGAAGGCTGAAAATTCTGTTACAAGTCAAACTTCTCTTGGGCCTTAGAACATAGCTAATCCAGAAATAAACACAATCTACAAGGCACCTCTCTTCAAACTCATTTTTTTAAACTACTGTTACTAAGAACCCATAATCACTAAATCCAGCACTATCACTAAGTTAATTAACTTTCAGATGTCAAATTTAGGCAAATGTGTAACTAACAAAAAATGAATCAACTGGATAAAAATGCAGATTGTTAAGGAAGTGATGAAAGCGATATGTGCAAAACGACCAGGCAATATAAATGTAACCAAACACAGCAGAACTGAAAGAATAACATCAAGGTGTCAGGCCACCGTTGTGATGTCTATTTACTTAACCCCAAAAGAGTTATGCCACACACACTGTCCACCTCCTCATCTCTTCATTCCACAAAACCTTAGGAACAGAGAGAGGCTGCCCACATATTTGTGGGGAAAAGGTGTTCCTTGGCACTATCTATAGCCTAAGCTTAAGATGGAAGCAGCACCATGAAGTTAGGGCACTAGGGCTCAGTTCTCTCTGTGATGCATGCAGCCCAGGAAACCCAGAATATCTGATATGACTCTCCCCCCACTTCTTAAATGTAATACAAAGACAACACTTGTGTTCACATTCTAGAATGTGAACTGGCTCTTCAGTAATAGCTAGAAGCTATTTCACATGCCAGAGAGAAGGATGACAAAAGTTGGATGTATGAAAACAAAGATTCAGATTAGTCAAGTTTGGTTTTTAGTTTTGAATGTTTGGATCTCCTCAAAATTCCCTAGTAGCACTTTTACTGATACATATACTATTTAAAAGAAAATTTTTAGCAAGTGTCACAGGACTAAACCTGAGATGTAAGTCTAATTTTAATTCTGAGTATACAGTCATTTATATGAAAGTTGTCCATTACATAAAACTCTAAAAACAAACAAACAAAAAATTAAGATAATGGTTGACTTACTAAATTATATTTCTATGTAGTGAAAAAAATCTAAGATTGAAAAGAAAACTACATTTCATTTTCCAATGTAGACTTCTGTTAAGAAAGATATGCTATATGAAGCTAATTAAGTCTTAACCAAATAGAATGACTGAAATATACAGCTGAGAAAATTTCTTTTAATTTTTAATTAAGGGAAATTTCAAATATATAAGAAGGTAGAGAAAAGAGTACAATAAACCCCATGAAACCATCACCTAGATTCAACAATTGTGAACTCATAGCCCGTCTCACTTTATCTGCATCCACACACAAACTTACCCCCCAACAACATGATATTTGAAGTCAATTCTAGACTTCATGTCAGCTTATTCAAACTTCAGGATATATCTTTTAAAATTGGACTCTATTCAAAAAATTTCATTATCTTACTTAAAATCATAATTCTTGAACGTGCCCCAAGCGCTCAAAGTTCTCCAAATAGGCAGTGAAGAAATTTAAACTTGATACCTACTTTCATTAGCTCCTAAAAATTGCTGTTGCAGACCTTCAAATGTGTCACTTTCTGTAATATCCTGGGCTGGTGAGCCATTATTCTGGGCAGAAGACTGAAAAGGTTTATACGTCACTTTATATGATTCCAAAGCTTGACAACTAGGACCTTGGGACATACCAAATTGCTATTACAAGGTGAGAGACAAAATTGACGATTAGGATTTGCTCTTTTCTTCAAAAATTATCTGAATTAGACAACTTGTTATAACACTTAATGGTGGTACAATTACAAATTTTATATATACATCTCCACTTAAAAACAGCACTTACTTAACAAAGTTCATAGAAAGCCTGAAATATGTAATTTCACACATTTTAGTTGTACTTCTGAGCATATAATAGAGCCATTTCCATAAATAACATTCAAGAATTCCAGTGAGATTGTATATAAACATTTAAGAATAATTTAGATGATACCGACATCGTGAAAACACATCTATGCAATAACGTGTAATACAATGACTCATATGTAATAAATACTCAGTAACTTTTGTGGGATGAATAACATTTTATAGAGAAGTAAGGCAAGTAAGGGGAAATAAGTAAGTAAGTAAGTAAGGGGAAGTAAGGGGAAATGACCACCTTAAAATGACCAAAAAATTATCCTGTCATCAGGTAACAGAATATCTATTAGTGAAATGAGGCATTCATGGTCATTGAGAAAATCTAAGAAGCAGCTAACTGTATCCTAAGGTCTTATTCATCAAACTCTCCAGAGGCAGAGGGGGAAAGTATTTCTTTCCTTCACATTCACCCTATCTACTGCTGTATCATCACAACAGATAATTGGCTTTGAAGTATTTGACGCAGAATGTGTGATAAGGGTGATGAGCTGGATGATCAAGGTAACTGACTGGTGTCATGTAGGTGATTAACCACTTTTAAACTCTATCAGGGTACCTGAACATAGCTTCTCACCAGAGCAGGGTTAATGGTAGAAGCCAGAAGCCTCAGTAGACAAAGGTGGCTATTCTTTGACAGACTTAACTTTTAATGTTTAATTATTTCCACGAAGTCTCTATTTTACAATTCTCATTTAAGATGATTTAATTAGACTGTAAACAGAAAACTGCATGACTAATTCAGCATGAGACTGAATAAATGCACCCTCAGCATTATTTGTACTTAAATGTTACTACTGCACTTTTCACAAACATTTCTTAATCACACACACACAGCAAATAAATGTGTATACACATGCACAAATTTCTTGAAAGTCAAGTTTTTACAATACCTGAAAATGATTCCTTTGAGTATCTGAAAATGTAATTACATTGGTTGGTTGGCTATTAAATTCCTGCTTCTGACTGTTGGTATATGGCCTAAAGTTTTCAGGAAGGTGATATAAATCAGTCTGCTCATATTTACTCGGAGGACTATAACCACTTCCACCTTCATCTCCACCTCCTTCAGGATGGTAGACAGGATGCTGGTCTTCAGTTCTACTTTGATTCTCTTCCCAGCCATTGCTACTTTTCTCTCCAATACATATATCCCGAATCCCATTATAGGCCTATTAGATAACAAGAGTAAGAGAAAAGTACTAAGATCTATTCCCACCCTCAAAGTCAAGTTTGTGCCAGATACTTACATTTACATTTGGAGGTTTAGGCAGCACTTGATGCTCAGTCCAGTTCATCTCCAATTGCTCAGAATGATGTGTGCTTGAGAAAAATCAGTATTTTAAATTAGAGCCTATCATCTATTTGGACAGAGACACCATACAGAACCTCAAGATTTTAACATGGGTGCCCTCCAAATTTTACCTAAAGGATTAAGTAGTAGTCTACAATTTTACAATCATATCTGTTATTATTGCCTGCAAGGTATCTAAAGAAAAAACTCAAAGCAGTGTGATATACAGACGCAAGGGGTTTCAGGTCCTTACTCTTCCTCTCTGCCGTCCTCGCTGCAGTCCGAATAGTGAAGCTCGGGGGAAGACAGGTCATCATCCAGCATATCGTGAGGCAGGTCTGTGAGTAACTGCTGCAACTGAGACAGAAAGGTCAGCGTCAATACAACACTGGCTCAGACCCAAGATGCCAAACCAAGTTGCCTTGGCACCAGTGATTTTGACTGTAGAAGTCAAAGAATTTCCTAATTTCTCTATGTAATAAAGGTCTTAAATTCCACAGGAATTACGTTTGTCAGTTCACTTGGGGGAAGGGGAACACATAAATATCAGGATTTATATTGGAAGGCTTTATCTTTTTCTAGAGGTCTTAGATTCAGGTACACATACAGCAGGAAAGCTTCTAAAACTTCTTTAGGCAAACACAGCAGGTCATAATAATGGCACGATCACTGTATCATGTTATCCGGGGGGCAGATCTGAGTCTCAGAATCCTGTTCTACCAGTAATCAGACCTGGAGGACTTGGCAATCAGACACCCTCCAGGGAATCTGAGTGGCCAGATGCACTGTACCCAGGTGGTGGTAACAGCAGCAACAGCAGGTGGCCTTGGAAGCCCTTAGAAGCTCCAATAATACGATGGAAACCTCTTGGGGAGTGACTAATTACTAGAGAGCCATCCAATTCCAATGATGAAAAGATACACAATGCTTGGCTCTTATAAACAGTTGAGTAGAAAGAAGGCTGTAAGACTCAGGTTTTTATGGATGCAGTGCTCTCAAAAGTATAACTAAAACTGACATAAAAGCACATGATTTTGCTCTCCAATTTTTTTCCAGAAAAATCACATCTTTAGCCTTATAACAACCAAATAAATTCACTCAAGTTTCAAGATAAACTGTGACAAAGAGACAAATGAATTATCTAATTTGTTGAATTTCAATATCTGTAAATGTCTTCAAATCCCAATATAATGACTTAAAATTTGTAATAATCAGAAGATTCAAATATTATGTTACTAAACGGTCAAAGGACTGCTTATAATGACTTCTCTTTAAACCTAAGCACCAGTTACATTATTAGTAAATTAACCAAGTTCCTCCACAGTATATAAATCAATCCCATAAAATTATGTAATAAATCAATTTTGAAGATATTAAATACTCTATAAAAATCTGGAAGAAAAAAATGAGATGTTGCTTAGTCTATGGCAGGTTTTTTCCCCTATTTCTCTGCCATCAGAATGAAAGAAATGCAGTGTAGCTATAAAACATATCTGAGTATCACACTTTTAATTTAAAAGATATTCTTAAAATGCATATGGTAAAAGTTAAATAAAACTATCCTAAGAAATGTCTGAAAAGAATGCCCCAACTGTTAACAGAGTTTTGGTGAAGTCAAACTTGGGAATGGAATGGGGTATGTGAGGTGGGGAAGGGGGACACTTCTTCACCCACATACATATTTCTAACATTGAGTGGATTGTTTGTTTGAAGGTGTTCTCAATACATTGGTTTCTCCAAAAATTAAGCAAGAGAAAAATATTCTATTCCAATCAAAAGTTATCTTGATGAAACTGATATTAACACCCAGCACCTTGACTTATCGGCCACCTGCTCACATAGGTAACTGAAAAATCATCTTGTGAATTATCCATATCAGAGTTGACCTAAAGATATAAAGAATAACAAACACTAAAACAGAACACATCAATATAGTAGGATACCACAATGGGACTCAAGAGAAAGGTGGCAAAGTGATTTTACAAAGACAAAATTCACAAAGAGAAAAAAAAGCACCTATGAGAACTTTAAGAAAAAGACTATACCCACACATAACACAGGGAGTAAAATCAAAATAAATGTTTTATACTTAAATCAAATAAGGACTCCTATAAGGAAAAAACATTTTCTTCTAAACCTTCAGTGAGGTTCAAGTACACAGCCTTATAATTCAGAAAAACCTTAATAGGAACATCTAAACAGTACAATTTCCACCCCCTCCCATAAAGATAGAAAAAGTCACACAATAATTAAGCAGTTCTTATAGTTTTCTTTGGCAACACCACAAAATTAACAAAACTGGCAACCATGGAGGAAAATGAATTTGAGCATAAGCAATTAAGTTCCTCAAAATGCTTCTGGATCCATAAGTAAACTTGTCAAGTAGCAAAACATCCCTACTGTATTTAGTGTTTTATAAAATATTTTACAAAATGTACTAACATTTTTAAATCATTTCATTCATGTTCAAAAAATTTCTCAAGATCTTTGTCATAGCTGGGCTATATTCCTCGGCTCCATAACTTTGAGGACAGAGCGAGGTTAAATGAGCTTCCCAATAAGGCCATTCAGGAACAAAATACCACCTGCTTCCATTCCTGGGATCAAAGGGTACCCTCCTCATACAACTGTGAAACAGATTTTGCTTTTGAACCTTGTGCCATAAAACACAAAATTATCATATATCAACTTATGCATGTTACCAAATAGAAAATTTTAGAAGCTATAAAATTTCCTCATTAAAGATCCACCCAATTACCAAATACAGATTCAAGAACAAAGATAATAATCCTTATAAACAGCAAGAACTAATTCCCCTTATGACTTCCAAATTTGGAAGTAATAACTGTCTTTTGGTTGCAAATGCAATCCTCTTAGGATATGATTGAGTTATCAACTGAGTTTAATAATTAAAGAGACACTTTCCCTAGGAAAAGATAATTTGCATTGCTAAGACCCCTATGAAATGCATTTTAAACTAGTCTATAAAATCCTCTCCCTTTACTAGCTAGTGTGTTTGTTCCTGAAAAAATAAAGAAAAAAAATTATTTGAGGGCATTTTACTCAAAGAACTTTAGCAACAAAACACTTTTACAATAATCTACATAGAACAGCCAAAGAGCCTAGTTCAAGGGGAATGTAAAACAAGGAACATGTAAACCTTTTCTTAAGATTCTTCATCTTAAATTAACTAAACAGACTGTCTTCAGAGTCTATAATCCTTGATATTCATGAAAGCAAGAGTTCTCAGATTACAAAGCAGATAATACATCTTATCCCCAGAGAACAGCAGCAAATGGAGTGGACAGCATTCATCTGCCTTCTAAACAAGTTGCCCAACAAGTACACTGATGAACTGATTCTGATATTTTAAAATATGAATTGTGAAATAATGCTTTCATGGATACACACTAAGCAGAATCTTCATCTTAGCCTCAGAGCCAAGTTATTAATAAAGACATCCCTGAAAAGGCCCAACATGGGACTGACAAAGGGCCAAATAATTTGGCAGCTAGACCTTTAGTCCATGAATTACACTACATGCAAAAAATTTTTTTAAATCCTTTCCACTAGGTAAAACAAATTTTATAATCTTAAAGGGGAAGACTTTGCCCAGATTGCCACATATCTGTAAAAGAAACACGGCAACATTTATTAGACAAATATCAGCGATATTGCAAGTGACACATAATAGAACTTTACGTCTGGAAGAAACAATGGAGACCCTCCAAGCCAAATCTCTCCTGCTAAAGGTGACCACAATGAGGCCAAGAGCAGGTGAGGGGCATGCCCATGTAAGCAGGAGTTATAGCCCCTGGGCCGGCAGGGGAACCTGAATCTCTCCATTCCCACTCCTATCTTCTTCCACATGACATTCAGTCGGCCACTAGAAGACACAGTCCTACCTGTTTGTATACAAGTAAGTGTCAGTCAGCCAGAGTTCAGTGTTTTTGTTCCCATTGTGACAGCTCCTGAAAAATACCTATATATTATGGGAAACATTTCAAAGGCACCATCTAGATAAAGTATTTGTTGTTCTTTAGTCGCTAAGTCATGTCTGACTCTTTTGTGACACTGTGGACTGCAGCCTGCCAGGCTCCTCTGTCCATGGGATTTCCCAGGCACTCCTACTGAGTGAGTTGCCATTTCCTTCTCCAGGGGATCTTCCCGACCCAGGGACTGAATCCAGGTCACCTGCATTGGCAAGCAGATTCTTTACCACTGAGTCACCAGGAAAGTCCCAGATAAAGTGTAAGAAATTGCTAAAGGAAAACAAAATGTAATATGAACAACAACAAAAAATACAATATGAACACTCCACTATTTGTTTCTTTGCTTTACTTAGGTGATGACAAGAAAATTTCACTAAGTAAAGAATATAAAATGCAAACAAATGCTAGCTTTACAACTCCCCCTAGTGGAGACAACACATCAAAAATGTATCCATAAGTAATCAAACAAGGCAGTTAAAAGTAGAAGAAAGGCTTTGCGATGGAAACGTCTTTAAACTACACCATTCCAAGCTCAATTGAGCTTACTATTCTCCTAGAGAAGTACCAGTATAAAAACTAAGAGGGATTCAAATCTGTATTGCCAGGTACAAGTTTCTGTCTGCCATCTGCTACTCAAACCACTTATCTTTCTACTCAAGATCATTTTCCAGGTTTTGAACACATCATCACTAAGTGGAGGTGATGGAATTCCAGCTGAGCTATTTCAAACACTGAAAGATGATGCTGTGAAAGTGCTGTACTCAATATGCCAGCAAATTTGGAAAACCAGCAGTGGCCACAGGACTGGAAAGGGTCAGTTTTCATTCCAATCCCAAAGAAAGGCAATCTCAGAGAATGCTCGAACTACCGCACAATTGCACTCATCTCACACACTACTAAAGCAATGCTCAAAATTCTCCAACCCAGGCTTCAGCAATACATGAACCGTGAACTTCCTGATGTTCAAGCTGGTTTTAGAAAAGGCAGACGAACCAGAGATCAAATTGCCAACATCCACTGGATCATCAAAAAAGCAAGAGGGTTCCAGAAAAACATCTATTTCTGCTTTATTGACTATGTCAAAGCCTTTGACTGTGTGGGTCACAATAAACTGTGGAAAATTCTGAAAGAGATGGGAATACTAGGCCATCTGACCTGCCTCTTGAGAAACCTGTATGCAGGTCAGGAAGCAACAGTTAGAACTGGACATGGAACAACAGACTGGTTCCAAATAGGAAAAAGAGTACATCAAGCCTGCATATTGTCACCCTGCTTATTTAACTTACATGCAGAGTACATCATGAGAAACACTGGGCTGAAGAAGCACAAGCTGGAATCAAGATGCTGGGAGACATATCAATAACC